GGGTAGGGTAATGGGACGAATGCTTCGACATTGTGGCTTCGATCGTTACTGGCATGGTACTATGTTTTCCTATGAAGAATGTGAAATTTGCTTAATCATTCTCTACCCTCCTAATCCTGTCTAATAACCCACAGTGAAATTACCTCCAGCCGTGAGGAGAAAAAGAACCGAACGGTTAACCATCCACTTTGTTTCGAATTTATACAGCACAGAGCGTAAGCGACACCACATATTGTGTTCCATTGGTTCTCTTTCTGCTGAGCTCCCTTTTATGGAGAGAAATATCATCTGCACAGGATCTCAGGATCTCAGCACCGTTGACGGCTAGCTCATTCCTTTGTTAGCTTCACTGGCACAGCGCCTTCACTTCGGCTGACCAACCTGATAAATCCCGGAAACTTAATAGTTTTTATTATTGTTCACAACTGTTGATATGCCACTATCAAATTCCATGGCCCCTCCTGCCAATTGACATATTTTGGTGGTCGGATTGGTTTCGTTGCAAGTGATATCTGAATGTAGAAAAAACACAACACCTTGAGGGGTCACAAACATCCTACTATATGCAATTCGCTAAGTGTGTCTGTCGTTCGTCGGTGTTTGTGTGTGTGTGTGTCGGTGTGTGTGTCTGACCGGAAACTCATAACTCCTGCCCCCGTGGACCTAAAGCGTTCAAACTTGGTAGGAGTACGGGGAACAGGATGAGAACACTTACGGTGGGTGGCAAGACCGGACTCCATGCACAGGGGCGGGGAGTGCGCGATGGAAATTTTAGGCCGCAACCTTATTACTCCTGTCTGCGTGGACCTGGAGCGTTAAAATCCGGAAGGATTACCCTTTTTACTAATAGTGGAACCTCACCATTTTAATAAGTGATGTAGAATATGACGGTATCATAGGAACTCAGTGACAGGAACTGATCATAAATGATAAGAAAAGATAGCGGATCTAGGAGTGGCCACTTACCGATCAAAATTTTAACGTCTTCAGCATCTACGATGTAGCTTTGACCGTTCAGTATGTTTCACTCGATAAGACGGGATGGTAGACTAGGGTGTCAAAGTGAGTGGTAAGCGCAGTGATAGGGACCCATTAGGACAATACGATAAGCAGATGAGAATAATGTTCATTTTTGCTATTAGATTACGACTGCTACCCAGCAAGGTTTGTGACATAACGAAGGACCCTCATTGCTCGACATCATTTGCAACAAAACGTAATCGACCGCCAGTAATCTGGAATTCTCAACTAATGAAATCTCCGTAAAGAAAGATCCATTGATAAAAACATCTGATAATGCTGATATCATCACTAAGAACATCTCCAGAGCATCATCTTAGGTAATCTGACAGTTGAATTTTTAATGGGTATTTCTTCTTGAGAAAGAGAGCAGAAGATCGACTCTTTCAATTGAAGGCGTAAACACCAACTTTCACTTAATATCATTTGTACTGCCCTGTTAGTTCTATGTCAAATTTCGTGTACAGGAAACAAAAATGGAGTAGAGAGTTAGCCGACTCACTGCAACTTTGTAAAAGAAGGAGGAAAGCCCGGGCGACTATGTGATATGCTACGACGACATATTCTATTTCAAGCTCTGTTTCAGTTCCATACTCTAACTCAGCTGAACTCCGGAAAAACTCCAATTTAGCTGAACAGCGGAAAAAAACTTAAAATTTATTAACTTTGAAAAAGGGAAAAAAATCTTCAGTTCAACATTTCTCGGGATGGGGTGTTTGACACAACAAGATGGATAGCCTGGCGTTAGCCAGCGATCCGACTTTATATGAAAAGGAGGATGCCCGGCGTAGCCGGGCATTTCATAAGAAGGAGGAGAGCCCGGCGTTAGCTGGGCGATCCGACTGGTGTATGTCTAAACAAAGATCGGAGATAATAATTAGTCGAGAAACGCTTTTTTTAACATCGAGCCCTAGGGATGAGAAGGTCAGACCATAATTGTGATCGGGAACGTTTCCTAGCCGAAACCACACTTTTTTGACCTGTGCTCCAAGAGGGAAGGGGTACCGGTGTGGGTGAACTAGCATTTCATAAACTATTCAACTCATACCCAATCCTAGATCTAAGGTCGGCTATCAGTTCTCTTCGCACTGAGTCCTCATCCTTACTTTATCCTTACTTTATATGAAGCGCACACGTCTGTCTGTCTGACTGATTGTCTGTCTGTCTGTCTGTCCGTCCGTCCGTCTGTTTGTACGGAAATGTTTAACTCCTGTCCCTTGGAACCCAGAATGTTCAAATTTGGTAGGAGTACCCAAGGCAGGATGGGAACTCCATGGTAGGTGGGAGGACCGGACCCCGCCCAAAGTAAGCGGGGCTTGCGCGAAAAATGTTTGAGTGGAAAATAATAACTCCTGTCTCAATGGACCTAGAAAATTCGAATATGCTAAGAGTACCCAAGGAAGGGTAGGAGCACTAATGGTGGGTGCAGGATCGGGCCACAGAGGGCGAAGTTTGCGCCAAAATTGTCAATTTGGCCCTAGGGCATTCAAACTTGGCAGGAGTATAGGCGGCCGGATGGGAACACTTATGGTATGTGGGAGGACCGGACCCTGCTCATAGAAGGCGGGGTGTGCGCGAGTTGGCTCTAGGGCGCTCTAACTTAATTGGAAGACAGGTGGCAGTTGGAGAGCAAAATCAATAGTAGAGGGGCAGGATGGGAACACTGACGATAGAGGAGGCCTTAGAGAATAAGTTTCAATCACCACTTGAGTCCTAGCGCATTTGTTATTCACGATCTAGCTTTGATTCTTTGATGTTTCATTCGACAAGAAGAGAAAGTGCATAGATATGGACCGATTATGAAATTTGGTTCACTTCTTGCTTACAACCGTCACCCAGCGAAGTTTGCTATTCAATGCGAAGGATCACGGTTTCTCACTGCTTTGATCATTCATGGCAAAACTCATCCGACCACTAACAATCTTAGTTTCTCATTTAATGATGTGTCTGTAGAGAAAAGGAGCTACATTCATAAAGACATTTGATAATATATATATATTTATTACATGACGTGAGTCGTGGCATAACAGTTAGTAAAGAAAAGAAAAAAAAANTGATGGTAGCTAACATAGTAGCCTCAGCCGCGATGAAGTCTCTGAACTTTTTTTCTGAATAATCGCCTTCGTGATATAATATTAAACGATGTTCTATTCGAACACAGCGAAGTTAGCTTACAGAGAAAACCGCTCTCAACTCGGAGCTAATACTGGGAGGTGTAGAGCTTTCAGAGGAAAAGGAGAATCCGAAGTGTTATTTACGCATAGCAATTTTCTCACAGGAAAGAGGAGCGTCTGGCGTAGTCGGGCGAACCCATAAGAAGGAGGAAAGCCCGGCCTTAGCCGGGCGCCTCGACTGGTGAAAGATAAATTTCACATAAGGATTCGATGACTTCGAGTAGAGTTGATGGAATCTTTTTTGGATCGTGATATTAAAGTGTACTTATTATGATTTTTTCCGTTCCCTCAAAAAGGGAACAAACAATATCAATAATGTTTCAAATCCTTGCTAATAATGCATTCAGGGTTGAGAATTGTTTTATGTCAGCGCAGTATAGAGAGGTAAAGTTTTCTCGAAACTCCTCATTTTCTCTAAAGTTATAAGGAAGTTTTCAAAAAAAAATGTTCAAATACCCATCCCCACGACACAGGTAACTAATCGGTTTTCGGATTTTTTTTTCGGTTTTTCAGCTTGGAGCGAATCTCATGATCGCTGTGCACTGTATAATGACTCTCGTTATTGTCATCAATCCGCTTAATCAGGAAGTCGAACATTACCTGAAGATCTCGCACAGTGGGTCCTGAATCAATTACCTAATCTATTGTTTTTCATTATTGACGGAAATCGCCTGGGTATTAATATTCACAACTGGAATAATTCTCTTCGCATGATTGATCATTATAGATCTAACTATTGAATTTCAGTGAACTACTTCAATCATTGCGTAAAAGATATTTCTTAACTTTTGGCTCCAAGACGTTAGCGTAATTGCAGTTCAATGGATTCAGGCTTCGGAACTGGCCGAGTTGTCACACGAACAACCGTTCTTCTTTTGGTGCTCTTCGTCGGTCTATCCGTACCTGATTTTTCGCCGGTGATGAATCTGGTAAGAATTTGGTGATCTGTAACCACTCAATTTCTAGCCCCTACCTTTTGTTCTCAGGTTGGAGCATCCACGATTCCCGTTGGATGTGCAGTGCTGCCATCGCTCTTCTATCTCTATAGTGAGGCGGCCACTGAAGATGAATGGAGAAAAGGACACACTCCAACGTTGATGAAGTGAGTGGTTCCTCATTTCCAAGCTTTGGAAACTCCAGTGATCGCCAAATGAAATCCCATTTTCAGCGTGATCCGTCGCACTGACAAGACGAAGCTCATCATCAATGTGTTTATGCTTAGTAGGTTTATTATTTTTTACATTTTTTTGGAACTTCGTTGCCGGTCAGCTCTTAGTACGCTGAAGTTCAGTATCCTCTGAGATTTCTTGACTCCGCTTCTACTGATTTAGGTTACTGAACCACCTCGAAATCTTCGTACTCATCTGTTCTGTTGTTAAACTTCTCAGCTTGCTGAACCTTCTCGTATCTTTCGTTCTCACCTGTTGTGATTTTAAGCATCTGAGGTTGCTTAACCTCTGGAGTCCCTCAACCCCGGAGGTTAAGCAACCTAAGAGGAGAAACTTCTGTTGAATAATATCCAAGTAAGATATGATCTTAAGAGCGATTTTGGATGAGGCCGTGTCGTGCATGGAATGCTTCTATTTTTTCTGGAGTAAGGCCGCAAAAAAGCGGCTATGGACAAATGCACGCGTTAGCATGCGTAGCGCAACTGGTACATACATATGTATATGTGTAATGCGCTAAGTGTGTGTGCGTATGTATGTATGTATGTATGTATGTATGTATGTATGTATGTATGTGTACGTGTGTATGTGTGCATGTGTGTATGTGTGCATGTGTGTATGTGTTTATGTGTGTGGTGAGTTGTGTGTGTGCATTTGGTCGCAAATCTATAACTCCTGTCTGCCGTCAGAGCATCTAAATTGAATGAGATGCAGGCGGCGGGCCAATTCTAATAGAAAGGTGAGAGTCTAGCCCCAACCGGGCGACCCGGTTAGAATCCTCAGAAAAAAATTCTAGGCACGAAGGTGCTCTGTTTTCTCGCTTAACAAAGCCCCGTTGAACGAGCTCCTCCCTTTGTCCATGCAGAAAGGCTATCTGTAGTATCATTTAGGGATGGAAGAAAGGTTCATGTAACCAATAAGTAGCATGATCATTTAAATTCATTTCACTGAAATTGCAAATATTTCGTCTTCACCCGATCCACCTAATTTTACCTATCTCGTTTCCGAGTTTTTATCACATCTAGTGCCGTAGAATATCAATTAGCAAAGACTGAGAATAGTGAGCTCAGAAAAGTCTTGTTACAGTTGTCGCAGTTATCGGCGGTGTTCTTGGAACAATGCAAGGACTTGAGAAAATTGCGAAAGCCGAGTTCTCGGCTCCATGTTACGTGCGTGCATTCACTGCTGACAACTACAGCACCTCATTCAAAATCATACAGCAGTAAGTTCGTATAAATAGTTTCACTGCCACGTTCCACAATGTGAGCGCTATTGCGCCGGAATTGCGTTTCGCAATACGCATGCAGTGCTTTCAAGCTGCCTGACTCGTGATCCTAACATTTCGGCTGCGTTCTATCAAACTATAGGTTCATGACTCCTATAACTGATAGCGTAGCGGGACGTGAGTTCATGTGTGGGGTGACAAAAGGTGTGATACATACTTTACTAGATATGTATTACGTTACATAAGACGGGATCGAGGGGAGGCCAGGGCAAGTCGGCCAGAGCCGATGCGATAGGCGCTCCACATAGTGCTAGACGTACGAAATGAATGGAGGCCAAGCTACCGGTATCTGGCTCGTTTTATAGTGGCCCTGTGTAACGTCCGTAGACAGGTGGTCTCGTCCAGGTGGCGGTCGGGTAGCGAGGATACGACAGTTCTGATCGAAGGGTAGATCAGTGGATCAGTGAAAACGAATATTGCCACCGCACTGGAACGCAGAATGTTAAAGCCTCAAAGGGCGGCTGCGTCGGCAAGTAAGTCACAGCGCTCCATAACATATTTTCATCGCAATGGGAATGTATGTTGTTTCGCGCGGCTCCTCCCATCGCACCGCCATTCGACGCGGCTTGTGAGCTGAATAACTTGTCCAGGTGATTCAAGCTTCTGACCATGTTAATCGATGCAAATGGACAGATTACAAGTGAGTCCGTAATTCGGTGTCTATTATTAGTGGGGTCATCGGCCAGGCGTTTATCAGCTGGATGGGCAGTATTTTGGCCGATTTGCATGTCAGAAAAGTGAATCGCCTGAATGAGCTCCCAACTCAGAAACCGCGTCGAATAAGGGAGCGATGAGAGGGGCCGCACCAAACGACCGCTTCCCTAGTAATGGCAGTGACATCTCCTAAACCACCTCTCCCACCCCCTATTCCTTCTCGGTTCCAAATGCTTGGTCAAGATAGTAGAAACTGAAGTTTCAAATATTTGTCTTTCAGAACAAATGAGTAAGTGGGCAATTACCTAGTTCACCCTTGCTCAGATACGGTTCCGCGATCAGGTGCAAGGTCATACTATGCCACCTCCCCATTCTGCGATTCCAAGACGCTAGAAAAGCTGCCAGTCGCTGGACTAAATCATTTCTTCTATACCTCCCATTACTTACACTTGACAGGGATATTATCAACAAACAATGACTCCTGCATAAATAAAAGCCCTGAACATAACTATAAAGTTCCCTCTCTGTTTTTACCGACCGCGTTATCTTGTAGTATGAATCAGATGCATAGTGAATGACTTAATATGAGGACGAAGCGTATACAAGATAAAAACTTTTTTTTTGCTGTTGTGGACATTACATGGAGTACATGAAAGTCTTTTTTAGCTGCTGTGGACGTTACATGAATATCTCCACGTATAACGAGATTTGCGGCGTCTAGCTACGAGCGCCAATATGCGGACGCGATGTGTACGAGTTTCGGGTGGATCTCGTCCGGACGACAGCACGTCCACCGCGTGCCCGAGAATATTATGACATGTCGTTTAATATAAGCTTAGATTTACTGCGTCACTCTATAGTATTTCTTTTGGAAGGCCGATTTATGATAGCAGATACTTTCATCAGGGAGCTTTCGCTGCTCATGAGTAACTCATTAAGGGGGGAGATTTTTTCATGGAAACGAGAGATATTAATAGGAAAATAGATAAATTTCTATAGAATCGCTCACTTGTTAAGAATTCACTTGATAGTAGCATATCCGTTTAATTGTTAACAAGGATTCACTGTTTTTTACATTGTATATAGAACCCGTTACTTCGTACAGTTTACTTCGAACAAGCATTTGTGGCCGTTTATCGATGCCGATGGGAGTGGCGGGTCTCTGAGCGCCTATACCGCTTATTCGTCCATGGCTCGGAAGAATTAGCTCATGCATGTACGCTCAGAAGCGCTGCGTATGTTTCCATCAATATAACGCCACTAGAATAGATTGTTTCCTGACCTGTGAGACTGAAGTGATACGGTGCGAATTCCGGAATCGTTCATCGAGCCGGTGTCAGATGTTGTTATTTGTGTGTTCTGCGTTCACTGTACTGTTCATACCTTATACGTGCCTTCTCTGATAAAGATTCAATCGAATGAAAATGAAAGATGGAATTACCGAGCGATTTGTTTGCGCTGGACTAGCTACTTTATTTTTATGTGTGTTTGACAGTAACATTGCTGTCTGCTATTAGTTAGCTGCTGAGAGAATGGGAATGAGCCCGCGCTACAGAGCTTGCCGCGGAATGGAGGGGTCTTGTGTAGGGGGCTGATGTTATCGCCTAGTCACGCGTCCGTGCGGTCCTATCAAAACGTCGAGGGTACTGCTACAAGGATGGTGTGGCACCCGTTGCCTTCTTCCCTGCTACTGCGAATCTCCTACCTCCGCCACAGTCGTGCGTGCTAGTGATATACATCTATCTTTGAAAATAAACTATAGTTCATGAATACTGCGAAAAACCGTCGGAAATGTGATGTCAAAGATATTATGCTAGCCCGATATTACTGTTGTCAAAAGAAAGGAACACAAAAGACTATTAAATTTATCTTCTTGCAGGTGTGGAAAGAAACCTACGGGCAAGCTCCTGGGCCCAAGGGGACGTCGGCACCCACTGCCCTCGGGGAAGGAGACGAGCACGGTTGCCGTGGACATGTGTCACACACGGACCGTGCGTCCCTACAGCCCCGACTTACCTCACTGTTCCTGAAGCTCTCAAGTGCTCGTATACTTCTCGAGCTGCTGGTGGACTTAGCCGCCCGGTGGCAGCTAGCAGCTCGCATCCCATCCGTTATCCCCCTTGCACCCTGGAGCCCCTCCTTCTTCCAAACTGTCCCGGCAGTGCGATTTTTTCTGGTGCCCGCGATCCCTCCTGTAGACGGGGTCGATGGATGACGACGACAATGCAAAGACGACTATGCAAGACGAGAAGAGGTTACCGAGTGATATCTTGACATGATGAAGAATGCCGAGGTGTTGCGTTCACACTTCACGCGGCGCCCAATACCACGTGGCAATCGATGCGAACGGCGCACAACGTGATTGGTGGAAACTGTACTGCTCGTCGAATATGCGCATGCAGTTTGGTGGTGACAGCCCGATGGAAGCTCCAGGCTTCCCGACAGAGCTGTGTTGTCAGTTCAGCGTTGTTTCTAATTACCAGTCGGATTGCCGCTGACGCCGAGCTCTCCTCCTTGTGTTGGAGTGGAACCGCCGCCTGCATTCCCCAAGTTAAGAAGGTGTAGTCCAAGGGAACAGGAGCTATTTATTCCCAGTACACGAACGCCGACACACTTCGTGCGCGCCCTGCCCGCCTGAGCGAAGTGCTGCTCAAGTACTGTGTGTTCCAGTAGCCTGATTCTTTCCCCTTCTCACTTCTGGGTGTTTTCACTCATGCTACGCTCATTTCACGCATTGCCCGCTTCCTCCATAACCCCTACCCTCCTGCCATTCAGTCCTCTCACATTCTACCATCCACCATCGGTGCTGCAATTCTTCACTGTGTGTGTGTCTGTATGTCTGTATGTCTGTGTGTCTGTGTGTCTATGTGTCTCTGTGTCTGTGTGTCTGTCTCTGCGTGTCTGTGTGTGTGTCTGTATGTCTGTATGTCTGTGTGTCTGTGTGTCTGTGTGTCTCTGTGTGTCTGTGTGTCTGTGTGTCTGTGTGTGTGTGTGTGCCTGTGTGTGTATGTCTGTGTGTCCGTGTGTCTGTGTGTCTATGTGTTGTCTGTGTGTCTGTATTGTGTCTGTCTGTGTGTATGTCTGTATGTCTGTGTGTCTGTGTGTCTGTGTGTCTGTGTGTCTGTGTGGGTCTGTGTGTCCGCGTGTCTGTGTGTGTCTGTATGTGCGCGTGTCCCTGTGTGTCTGTGTGTGTCTGTGTGTGTGTCTGTGTGTGTCTGTGTGTGTCTGTGTGTCTGTGTGTCTGTGTGCGTGTCTGTGTGTGTCTGTGTGTGTCTGTGTGTGTCTGTGTGTCTGAGTGTCTATGTGTGTCTGTGTGTGTCTGTGTGTGTCTGTGTGTCTGTCTGTGTGTGTCTGTGTGTGCATGTCTGTGTGTGTTTGTGTGTGTCAGTCTGTGTGTGTCTGCGTGTGCAAGTCTGCGTGTGTGTCTGTGTGTGTCTGTGTGGGCGTGTCTGTGTGTGTCTGTGTGCGTATGGGTTTTGTGTGTCTGTCTGTGTGTGTTTGTGTGCGTCTGTCTGTGTGTGTCGGTGTATGTATCTGTGTGTGTTGTGTGTCTCTGTGTGGCTGTGTGTGTCTGTGTCGGTGTCTCTGTGTGTCTGTGCGTGTCTGTATGTGTGTGTCTATGTGTGTGTGACTGTGTGTGTCTGCGTGTGTCTGTGAGTGTATCTCTGTGTGTATATCTGTGTTTGTGTGTGTCTTTGTGTGTCTGTGTGTGTCTGTGTGTGTCTGTGTGTGTCTGTGTGTTCCTGTGTGTGTGTGTC